TGCGCAGAAGCAGGTATTCATGTGCAAAAGCTGAGGGAGGTTCATGCACAGAAGCTGAGGGGCGTGTGTGTCTTACTGCAACATTGCTCTCACCACAGAGGGCAGATTTCAGCCTTCTCCCCTAATCTGCGATAGCTGTCTTTGATTTTTGTATGAAATTGAAAGAGAACATTCAGTATTTTATTTGTAGTTCTCAAATGTTAACACCATGTGGCAGTATTTATTTATTTATTTGATCCTTTCGCTTCTGCTTTTCTGGCAAAAAGAAAGGAATGCCCTGATTCCAAGTCACATTTTTCTTTTGTCAGGAGCAGAAATCAAAGCCTTTGTCCCTAGTCAAGTTCCAAGTGATCAGAGTGACATTGTAGAAGACTTTCCTTGGTAATGTATGCATTTAGTTCAAACCACACCTTTTGTGTCTTCAAGACAATGAAATCTTGCCCTAAAATATGGGTGAGCAACCCATGCCTCCTCCTTTTGCTAGAATGCTAGAGTTAAAATAACACAACTTCTGACTTAAAAGTGGATTAGGAAGCTATGGAAAAAAGTATTCTGTAATTTATTCCCTATAGTTTGCACACCTATAATTGACTCTCACTTCTCTCTTTTAAAAAAAAGCAAAAATCCAACTGGTACCTGTTCCCCCACAATGTGACCATTGGCTGATGTATAAAATCCTCCAACCCCCCTCAAAAAAAAAAAAAGGAGAGATTTGTTTTTAATGTATTTATTTAGCATATTGCAAGGAGGGAGGAAAGAAGAAAAGGAGGAGGGAAGGAGGGAGATTTGAGTTGCTGAAATTATCTGTCCCAGCCACAAACTGCAATGTTTCTCTGTCATAAGGTTTGTTGCTGGGAAGAGAGATGTGGCAAACAGTATAATGCTCTTTGCAAATGAAGAGCTTCATACAAAAATTCTGGTTCACAGTTCTAGAACTTGAAAGAGTTTACACTTTGCTCTTAGTTATTTTGTTTATATAAATCCTGATGCGACCAGATTCAATTATTATGACAGCACTTTGTTATATAAGACAAAGCTGAAATATTCTGTCATTTTAGAAAAGTGACTTGGTTTTTGTGAGATAGAGGTACTGAAAATGTTAACCTCTTAAGCATGGATGTGTTGTTGAATAGGCAAAAATGTTGACATCTTACGGAAAACCAAAATTCCTCATTCCTCTCCATATTATTGTTCTATCATCATTAAAGTGGCTGGATGACTTTTATTGTCTGGCTCAGAGAATAAAATACCACTTCAATGCCTCTTTCTCACACCGAGAAAAGGATCTGGAATTCAGGACTATAAAAGGGAATGTGTGCTTGTGATGGGGTTGTGTCCAGCCACTGGACAAATTTGTACTTAGATAATCTTGCATTGCCGCACTGCAAAGTCAAACACGATATCCACCTGGTAAATGTATTGAGCCACAGTTATTGATTCATTAACTGTAGCACTTCTGAGTTGATATTCTGAAAGATTTTCTACTTTCCCTTTCAAGCAATTTAGCAGGGTGACCAACAAAGGTGAAAGAAAGAGTGCATCTAGCAAAAATGCAGATAGTCCTCAACTTGCAATCACAATTGAGCCCCAAGTTTATTTTACAACTTTTCTTGCCGCATTTGTGAGGTGAATCACTACAATTGTTTAATTAGTAACATGGTTGTTGAGTGAATCTGGTTTTCCCTTGACTTTGCTTGTTAGAAGGTCACGAAAGGAGATCACATGACTCCAGGACACTGCAACCATCATAAATGTGAGTCAGTTGTCAGGCATCCAAATGTAAATCACCTTGAGATGCTACAACGGTCATAAGTGTGAAAAGTGGCCGTAAGTCACTTTTTTCAGTGTAACTTCAAAATGTCACTAAATGAACTGTTGTAAATCGAGGACTACCTGTAAAGCAAAATCTCATCAGCAGTAAGAAATGAAAGGTGGGTCTTTTAAATGCAAATCTTGAGCAGGGATGAAATTTAAAAGTTAAGAGGCTTTAGAAAGCAATCAACTCTGCCTGAAGTATAAGCAATGACATTAACATTGATTTATTTAGGATCATACATGTAAACACTTTTCTTTCAGGAATTTACAATGGTTCCCAATGGAGACCTTCTTCCTTCATTTTTTTCCTCAGGAAGCTGTGCCTTGTGAAAAAATGTAGCTGGGAAGACCCAGAGGGCCAGCCAAAATTCCCAGT